AACAGCGGGGCAGTTTCCTCCGCAGCCGGTGGCTGGAGCGGAGCGCAGGAAGCTGCGGTGGAAGGTGGGTGTCCAGGAGCGCAGCGTCAGCGCGGCGTTCGCTGAAGACATTGGGTGTCCGTGCTCGTCAAGGCCCCGTGTAAATGAGCAGCCAGGCCCCGGGGGCAAACTTAGTGTTGCTCAAGATGCTGGGATCTTTTTGCTCGGCGCGTTATTGCAGCTGATGCCGCAAACGTGATTGCAGATGGCCTACTAAGGAGACTACAGTTTTTCTAATTAGTATTTCTGGCCTTTAAAAAGGCTGTTAAGTAGAGGTCCGGGCAGTGTAAAAGCAGTAATTGTGACTGCACCCCCTGCTACCTGTGCTTTTAAAGCTGGGCTGCTATTTACTTTTTACATTGTCTTTTTTTTCCAAGTGTGAAAGAACGAACACGCGCTCTTGCTGGATTTTGCTGTGGTGCCTTTCACGCCGACTCATCCCCATACTCCTAGATTAATGCTCCAATATAACTGACCACAAAGCACCACCTCCCCACCGCTGCCCCTTCTCTCCCACTCGCGTTGAGGTACGCTGTACTCTTAAAGGAGAAAACATCACATTGCTGTTCCTGTGGATAGCGCTGTGGCACGTCCTCTCCTTGGCCAGTGAGTTAGGATTCTGTAAGCCTCTCTGCGCCGCCATTTTGGTTTGTCTCTTGCGGAGTTGGTACAGTGCATTTTTGGAGTAGAAGGTTGTGTTCTTTTAAGCAGGAAGCAGTTCTGCATGGTTTCAGCAGGCTGTGCCTAGCGCAGGTAGGGCTCTCGCTGACACGAACCGGGAAGTTCCCGAACGCGCCCTGGTGCTGGCTGTTTGCTTCCTGGAACAACCCCGAAACGTGGTTCAGCAAAATCTGTGGTGGCAGTTAGATACAAGGAACGATGTGCTAAGGTGTATTCAGGGACCCGCTGCCTCCCGCCCAGGCGTTCCGCCAGCAGAACAGATTTTCTGTTTGCATAGCTGGCTCATTCACGAGCGCGTTGCATTAGCAGGCTGAGGAGGTGCTGCTGACCTTGTTTATTAAGCCAGAATTAATTAACTCAGAGGGTCACATTTTCATTTTGGTGACTCCTGTGGTACAAATTTTTGCAACTGATCCATAATACTTGAAAATACCTTGATCGTATCCGTATTTTTCCAATTCTATCAGCTGCTGTTTTGTTACAGAACACCTGCAAAAATAAACTTGCTCTGAAACCATCAGTGAAAGCATTGGCATGGTAGAGTGGCTTTTTTCGTTGCCAGTAGTGGTCTGTCAAGCCACGCGGCAGCCGCAGGCACGGCGGGGGTGTGCCCTTGCCGCGTGCGCTTCCTGCTCAACGCTTCCTTTCCTTTCCTGGTAATTAACACCGAGGTCGTTACCCACCGTTAGGCGGTTTTATTCTTGCCCTTTCTCTGTCTCCCTTCGAGAGAGAGTTTTTCCTCTTCCCCCTGAATATACAGTTACGATATTATCGGCTTTCAGCTGTTTGTGCCGGGTTTTTGGGTGCTGTGAAGGTGAGTTGGTGTCCTTTGAAGTGGTTGTGCCACGTGTTTCATTTGTAACTGATCTTCATGTTTGCCAGGGAGCGCTTTGTGATTCTCATCATCCAGGCGCCGCTCGCTTTGCTCAGAGCAGCGGGATCCGGCTTCCCGCATCGCTTTTCTCTTCCCTAAACACCGTTTTCCTTCATTTTCTGGCTGTGGTTTGGAACGTAAACCTTGTGAAATAAAATGTAAGTTTACATTTCCAGTACGAGCCTGGAAGTTGCTTATGCTTTCATGCTGCTTGGTTTTTTTTTTTCTGTATGAGGTTTTGAGATTTTACAGCAGCATTTGTAAAACTTGAGTGAGTAACAGCCACCGTTTAATGAAAAACAAGTAGAAGAGTGATGTTAAGGAGGGGAAAAGAACAGCCAACCAACCAAAACCCCAACAAAAAGGCCCAAGGGACCACCTTTCCTTCTTTTTCCAATTGTGCTTAAAAAAGAAATGCCTGCTCGCGTCACAGGCCAGTATCGTGCAGCTCATGCCGCACGCGGGTGTTTTACCTGAAGGCATTCCCGCCGTTTCAGTACTTACTAGACTTGAACTCTTCCAGAGCTAAACCTTGAGTTAAATCCCACGGGAAGCCCGGAAACAAACAAAAATTGCCCTCCCTCGCTAAACCAGGGACGGTGTCAGCTGCACCTTCCCACAGCAGCACCTCCCTTTGTAAGGGAAACAAAAATCCAGTGGATTCTTGAAGGTGGTGGTGTATTTTTTTCCCCCCCCCCTGCCTGTTTCTGGAGGATCCGGGAGCCCGTGGGATGTGTAGGCGAGGGAAATCCCTGATCCTGGCAGCCGCTACCCTGAAGCTGCGCCGAAGCACCTGGGCTGGTGCAGGGGTGGCCCGCCCCGAGGAGGAGGAGGCACCATTTCATGCCCAGAGCTTGGGTGAGGAGGCTGCTGGAACCCGGTGTGCTGTTCTGAAGGAGCCCCAGGCGTGGGCGGCGCCGCTCCCCGCTGCGCTCGCCCGCCGTCCGCGCAGGAGCTGTTCCTGAGCAGCTCCAAATCGCGTTGTCGGAGCAGGGAACGGCCAGCGGCTCCCCTTCGGCTAGCAAGGTGCAAAATAGAAATGGTCACGTTATTTTATAAATTACTCTGTCTGGCCAGCTGGTTTTCATTGGAAAGTGACTCATTTATGTTTGCTGTGAAAACGGGTCCCTCCAAGATAAAACCTCATTAACTCTCAGGATCAGATAATCGCAGACCTAGCTGCCTTCAGCGTTAGGAGGAGGATTTTACCTCGCTTCAGAGTAAAGCGCGTGGGTTTCGCTTGCCAGTGTTTTGGCTGGGCGGGAAGGCAAGCGGGACATGAGCTGCTGGGGCCGTGCTGGGATCGGAAGGCTCCGTTTGGGAACGACACGCTACCTCGACTGGGTCCCAGCTCCCCTCAGCCCGCACCACTGCAGCGCAAGGCCCCTCCCGTACCAAGGCAGCCTGGCTTAGTGGGCTCCGTGCCCATCACTGCTAAATCACTGGAAATAGCGTTGGTGTCATCGTCCTGATGCGGCACTGCGTTCAGCTGCTCTTCAGACAACCAGCCTGGCCTGGCCCTGCTATCTGTAAGTCTCTTGCGTACAAGCCCCGCTGTTCGGTTCAGCTCAGGACGGGCCACTCAGAGCTACGTTGTTTAACACTGCTTTCTCACCCCTTAATTTAATAGGATGTAAATGTTTTCCAGCGAACGTCACGGCCAGCCTGCTGGCAATGATGGTTGGTCGGGTTCAGCTTCATGCTGCTGCTGACGTTGAGGCTTTTCATATCAAACAGGTTTTTACAGAAGTTTTGGATACTCCTTTTTACTGTCTGACAAACGTTCTCTACTTTATTATGAATGCCTTGTGTGCGTTTCACTGGCCTTTCCCAAGTGTTTGTATGGTTTCTACAGCTGAATATCCTGTACGCTCCGCTTTGCCATTTTCTATGACAGTTTATACTAGAGAGCCTGCAGTTCACACTGTACTCAGGCAAGGATGCATTAAAACCATTTTTGGCTAATTTATTATACTTGTGCAAGGTTATTTCCTATGACCTAGCCTATGTTCGGGCTAAACATTCTCTCCCTGGAAGCCTTACGCAACTTCAATGAGCTGAAGTTACCGCTCGGAGCGGGGAAGGTTCTTCCTCTGTGTCAAAAAAGGGTTCGCTGAACGCTGCTCCTGTCTTACGAGGTCTTGGTTGGGGCAGCCCAGGCCTTCGCGTTCCGCTCATCTGACGAGCTACGAAGTGCTCTACTTGTGGTGACATTCTGTGATCCTGCACTTCTTAGAATATGGAGATAGTTAAAAAATAATAACGGGCTGTGGGGGTTGTGTGTGTATATATCTATATGTAAAATTTCCCAAAGTGATCGTTGGGTAAGGCTGGGCAAGGTTGAGCGCTGGGTATGGTGTCCTTGGCGCCAGGGGGTTTAAAGCCCAAGAAAGAAGGGATTTGGCGGCAGAGGTCGCTTTGACCCGATCGATGCAGTTACTGCACCGAGTGTCCTGGAAGGGCGCTAAGCCCCGAGGGCCGTATTTGTCTTTTGACTTCAAGCCCTGCTGCTCTGCAAACAGAGCTAGGAATCGAGTTCAGCTTTTTGCCGCAGCTTGCCTTCCTTTCAAAGGCTTAGCGATACCGACCCGACCACACAGGCTGCAAGCGGCAAGTACCGCGCGTGTAGAGTTTCTGTAGCCAGTGCTGCTCCCACCCTCGGTCCCCACCCAGGTTGCCGGGGCGGGTGCGCTGCAATAGGAACCTTCTTGATTCACTACCATTGAGCAAGACAACGGTGGCTGGTTTACTATTTTAAAATAATCAATGCAGAGCAAAATTCAAGAGAGTTGTGTCTTTAGTTCTTGGTCACCATCCAAAGGCTGACAGTTCTCCCCAAAATTCAGTGTGGCCGCTAAGAATTGCATTGAGTTCCAAGCACGCCCGTGGTTTTGGAAGCGTTTGGGAGCGGCTGCACCAGCTGACCTGGAGCGATGCAAACGTTACCACCAGAAAGGAAGCACGCGCCTCTGTGATTCCGTTGGTTTATTTTGCTCTTGCAAGCAGCCACAAGACAGGCGATAGAAGAATAAATAAGTTAAAGCAGAGAGCGTAGCGATTTATAGAGCCCCGACACTGAGCTGCTTGCCCTTGTCATGACGGAGCACGTTGCTGTTGTACCTGACACAGCGTTCAGGCAGTTACTGACCAGAACCAATCAAGTCAAGTATTTACCCCCTTGGCCAAAAGGATTTTTAAACACGCCCTCCACCAGCTCAACAAAAATGAAACGTAGAAAGAAACCTCTTGTCACATCACAGTCATGTCCGTTTGCCCCGAGCGTGTCAGTCTGTTCCAAAATACTTCTGTCCAAAGTGCGTTGGTGCAACGGGATGAACTTCTGTGGTTAAAATCGTGATCTCTGGGAATTCCTGGATGATGGATTTGGCACCTTTTGAGAGAGGGCAAAGGCAATAATGACTACAGCACTGCAGCTGTATCGCAGCACCACACATTAAATCACGATTAGCAGAACTCCGTAAATCAGTTGGGCTGCGTTCTCCTATCTCCACTTTGTGACTCTGCCTTAGCTGCCTGTCTAGGAGGAAAAACTTCCTGAATTCAGTGGACTGCTCTTTTGGGTTTTCTTATTTGGATTTTTCCTTTCTTTGCCACACAGGCACACTCCAATCCAACCACCAAAGCGGTTACAGACTGCCAGGAACAACTCTGCACTTCAGCTGACTTTTTTGATAGTGATTTCTGCCGTGGCCAATTTTTAAAACAACGCACAAGATCCATTTTCCTACTTCACAGAAACAGATGTTCCGTTTCTGGATCCTTTTGTGCAAGTTACCATCTTTAACACCTGACAGGACCGTTCTGTAGCTTCATTCCCTCATGCTCCTCACAGAACTGGCGTTCTTTCGGTGGCGGAACAACTCCCAATTTTTAAAACAACGCACAAGATCCATTTTCCTACTTCACAGAAACAGATGTTCCGTTTCTGGATCCTTTTGTGCAAGTTACCATCTTTAACACCTGACAGGACCGTTCTGTAGCTTCATTCCCTCATGCTCCTCACAGAACTGGCGTTCTTTCGGTGGCGGAACAACTCCGCACCATCCGTGGGCTGCCACAGGGCTGGCGTCGGCCTGCAAGCCCACGA